AACACTTGTAGATTTCTACAAGACACAGTGAACTCAGAGAGTGAAGGAAGAGCATCTTTATAAAAGATAAACAACTTACAGAACATACTGCTCTTTGAAATTTTGTTACATTTGTGTAAAAACATCTTTACACTTTTTAACGGATGAAGAACATCTTCTGTCTGACCTTAATGGTCATATAATTTTTAACAAACACACAATTTAATTTAGAGATTTGAGGAGGGAAATAGTATCAGCACAAACCTTTCAACATGAAAAACAGATTAACAGATCTATTCATCTCAGAATATATTACATATCTGTGGTCTCACAACATGATGACAAATTTTTCAACAAAAGAACGTCTATATCATCTGATCTAAAACGATCAAAGTGTTCTCTGGATCACACCACAGTTATTAAAATTAGATTACCAGATAACCATTAAAAATTAATGGATCAAAAGTAAGATCTGGTAATAAGACCAAATCAAAGTAATCCAATAGATTAAGTCTACCAATAACACCGGTTCATCAGAAGAACTATATATTTCCCATAATAGCGATAAATCAAAAGTGAAATTAGCTAGTAGAAAGTACAGTCATGTTCCAAAACATTTACATAGCCAAAAAAAGAAAATTAATTGGTTCATGCAACATGCATCAAACTGTTTATGTCATTTCATAAAGAAAATATATATATCTTGCTTATAAAGCAAAGTAATAAAGACGCTTCATATCCAGAAGCAATTCTTCTTTACAAACAGAAGATCCCGTTCTTTTAAACTTGAACAAGTAACTCAATAATCTTTTACCAATATGGTCTTTTTACTTATATATAAATACATTATTATAGTAAAAAAAAAGGTTGCAAATCAATCAGTGAAGTTTTATGCAATATGCATCAAATTATTGTCTATCTTAACATAAAAGAAGTTGCAGCCATTTCTGGAAATGTAGACAAACAAGAAAACAGACACATCTTAGAAGCTCAGTTCAAGCAGAATGAAAAGTCCTCAACATCTCTCACACCAGTCATCTTAGACTGATGTTATCTCCTCATACATCCAAATTAAACTTCAGCCAGAAGGTTTCTACCATGGTCTCCACAGAACTTTAGGATTTTTCTCCTCATCTTTGATGGTCTGACAGGTGTTCAGAACGATTCCAGGATCTTTTAGTTTGTCATCGAAATCAGCCTCAGCTTGTTTAGCCTGGTTCAGCTCTCTTCTCTGCTGCTGGTTTTGTTGCATCAGCTGCAGCAGGAAGCAAACTGTCATCTCTAGGATGTCTGCTTTCTCCATCTTGGAGTCTGGCTGCTGTTTTAGGAGCTCTGGACCAAGGAGAGCCTTGAGCTGCTCAATGCTGCTGTTGATCCGCTCTCTGCGTAATTTTTCCACCAGAGGCTTTCTGAGCTGCAGAAATAATAGGAAAGAAATTACTAAACGTATTTTGGAACATACTGTAAAACAGAAAGACTTCAAATAATAACAAAACCAAGACGAATATAAACCAACTAACCTTGTGGTTGAGAGTCAGATGCTCCTGAGAGTCAGCCAAAGCTGCAGGGATGGGTGCCATGATTTGCTGTAGATGCTGCGGAGCTCTCTGAAGAGAGAATCTGATCTTTACTGTCCTCATCCCTCCTATTTATACTTCCAGATCTCCATATCAATGTGTGGGTCTCTCTCTGGTTGAGCTTTCCCACAGTCTGGTCCAATCAGATCTCCCAGAGAAACAATAGACATGCGGGGCACTAACATGCTGCCGTTAATGCCTGCAGGGATGATTGTTAGATTTCAGAGGGAGCAGGTGGAACACACCCACAGCGCTCTGTATCAATGTGGGAAAGTTGTGACCCTGAAAGCTGACACGCTCCCTAAGGTAGGGATCAGTGGAGTTAGGATGACGGCAGGCTTTTAAATATGATATGGTGAAAAAAAAATCCAAACTGAAATCACACAGCATGCAGTCTGAGAGATTGTTTATATAGATTGGTCAAACCATATAAACAAACAAATGGACAAATAATTTTTTTTCTCGTTCTAGAGTCATGAAAGTTTTTCAACAGACTCTAATTAAAACAACAAGGAAGAATTACACTATGTAATTCTGCAACATTAAAATATGCTATCAATCATTTAGAAAACAGCTCACAGCAATTAACACGCTGATCTGCAGATGCAGCTGAGTTTTGGCACGTGTCCTGTTTGGACAGCAGCGTAATTATTAACTCTGACACGTGCCCTGTAGCTCGTGTGAGTAGCACGACCAGATGAGTTTCCCACACTGAGCCTCTGCTGTGATTAGGGAATCACAAAAGGCACGTCCGTGACAGGTGTTAGCTCTTAGACACAGAACATTACATCACCAACCATCTGGAGGGAGAAGGTCCCACTGATGCTTTGAAAAGCTGCCTAGGAATAATAAAAGAAGCTGGTCCTATAGCCCACTAAAAGGGTTTGTCATGTTCAATTTTAAGACTGTAATTACCTTGAATTACCATTCCATAATAAAAATTGTAGAACATCATTATCCTCTTGTCAAGTATAGTCAGAAATACTTCCTGTGGGACTGCCTTGAAGTGTGTCAAATCCCTCTGGAAAGCTAATGATTTGCTAGAAGTGTTCATCCGTACCCTCTGATCATTAATTTCTGTATGTATATTTCTGCTGTTAAAACATAGTTTGCATCTGAAAATAGTAAGAATACACCTAATCAATAGATTTAAAATGTGTAACCTGCAAAAAAGAAGTTAGTGGCAATTTTCTAAAATATTATCTTTTTAAAAGAGTTTATGTCAGTAAGGTAAACCCAAATGGATGTTTCTGAATATGTGATACAAGCTTATCTAAAATCCACTAAAATGGTTGAAAACAACTCAGATCTCTGGAGTTGGGTCCCCTTGTTATCCATCCCGTTTGAGGGCAAAGGTCTGGATCTATTGTCCCACAGCGGCTCTGTGAGTGGGTCTTTTCTGTGTTCCCACACTCTACGTATGATGGGAGGAACAATAGAAGTGTGCCTGATTATGCAAATAGTAAGGCCATTATGACCTCTTTAAGAAGGGACATTGTATTTTTTGTTACTGCAAAAACTGAAAGTGAGGGTTTAACAAAACTATTTGTTAAACTTTAGATTTTAGTAATGGGGGATTTCGTTTAAGGCAAAAAGGCACAAATTAGAACAGACACTTTTTACCAATGGGTCCAAAAGAGTCATTTTTATTTATTCTTTTTTTTTTTTATGGAAAAAACTATAATTTTCAAAAATATTTTTTTTGTTTGTTTTTTAGGTTTATAAAGAATAATCATCTTTCTGGTTACCATTAATGTAAATGTAAATTGCAGTTCATTACACATACTACTAATGTTAACATCCTAAAACTATAGAATACTTTTTTAGCTAGTATTCTGTTTTTTTTATTTACTTAGCAAACACATCCATCTACAACTGGTGTTGACAACATATGATGAAACAACCACCTAATAGTTTTTATTACTCTGGTTAACAGCCCAATAAGATAAAATGAAAGACCAGTTGCCTTTTTAAAAAAAAAAGACTATTCTAAATATAAGAAAAGTAAGTATTTTATTTATGTAGTGTTTCTAGGTGGTTGGTTTTTGTGCTTTTGAAGAGAATTTGATCACCGATGGCTTCACCTCTCCTATCTATAGACACACTCTATTTAAATGTGTAGATCTCTGTACGAATCAGGTTTCATATAGCCTGAATCCATGCCTGCCTCTTAATTAGTGTTTTTAAACTCAGGGAAAATACTAAGATCTAAAATAAGAGCCAATTAGCTTTTAGAGAACTGCGAACAATTGGGGATGGGAAATATAGTACACGGTTTACATCTATGAGCTGAGGGGGTTCTGTGAGCATTGTTTCATTTGTTTTGATCGAGTTTAAGAATTCTGCATGGATTGTTATGATGCAGCTATTATTTATTTACATTTGATTATATTTTAGACTCCTGTTTCATTTCTGATTCGGGTCTAAAGCAGATTTGCCCAAAGGTCAAAGTCTGTAGAAACTTGACCTAATCTTTTCAATCTGACTTTTAAGATCAGGTTTAGAAATTCTCAAAAATAGGACTTTTTTTGTACTAAAACTGAATGCTTTACCAAAAGGGTATACATCAAATAATAATTTATTAAATAAATATTTATTTCCATCATTAGATAAAAGATATAGGAATGCATTAAGGATGGGAGGGGCCACTTTTCAGCTATATCCCTTTAGAGAAATATCATCTGCTGGTGAGGACAATTAAACTATATCCTATATGCACTCATCAATCTGAAACTAAGTGAACACTGTAGGGTTTCTTATTTTGAAATATTTTTCTTATTTCCTCAAAACATTAACAGTAAAACATTTTTTTTTTTCATTTCTTCAATACAAAGTTTTTTATTATAAAATAAAATCATCCCATCGGTCGCACTCAAGAAGTGGCAAAATAATGCTTTAATATAATAGAATACTCCTGTGTGATTATCTGGGTATGTCCATAAAACTGAATTTGCAAGCTTTCTTTTCTAAAATATTGTCATTTCTTTCAGATTTAGGAATATTGAAATCAAAACAAGTCTGTAAAAGTCTGTAAACATAAAGAATTGATAGGTAGAAAACAATTGGATTACTTAAAAAGAACACAGCTCTTGAAGAACACACAAATAAAAAAAGCTTTTTAGAGTTCAATGTCCCTGTTAACCCATTATTGATCCAGATCAGTTAATGGCAAAGTGTGTTGTGGTATGAATGTGATGTATAAGTGACCCCACTTTTTAATATATAAAGTTTTTTCAATTTTATTGTTTTATAACGGTGTACCCCCTGCAACCCCTGTTCGTGGGACAATGGATGGAGATTAGCCTTTGGTTACAATCTGTCATGTTTACATTCATGTATTTTCAATGTATGTCCATTAACATGCGCTTTCCCAATCAAATAAAAAAATGAAATTAAGTGAAACTTTCCCCCGTAATTTCCTCTGGGTTTCCATACATTAGAACAATGGAAGTGTGCCTCATTAAGCATCACATTAGATATGCTGTCATAACTCTTTTATAGAGAGAAATGCTTCAAGCACTGACATATAAGTCACTACATAAAATGACACTGTACTAACATTCACATTAGATAATTCCTGTTCATTTATAAAGGGAGATATAGAAATAGACTAAAAAACACCAGTTTTCTCATTGTCCCAAAATTTGTGAAATGTAAAAACACAAGGACATGAAGACAAACTTGCAATAAAGTACAAAAAAACTTCACTTTCAGCTCAGTTGTTTATTAAAGGCACCAAATGACAGAAAGTACAAAAGCTCCATTAAGAGGTGATGATGCATCACAACAAAAACTTGTTGATTTAAACAAGACACAGTATACTCACAGAGTGTAAAGATCTGAGACACATCTTTTTAAAAGACAAAAGATTTGCTGAATTTTCAAATAAAACTCACATTAGAATAGTTTAACAAACTTCAGTAAAACAGAGTGACCTTAAAACAGATCAAATTATCCATAAAATCCAATAAAAGTAAAATAGCAACAGTAAAAATGAACTCCTTGTTTTTAAGATATGCCTATTAAGTCTGAAATCAATCAGTAAACAAAAAATCCTCAAAAGGTGATGATAGGTCACATTATGTAACAATCAAGGACATAAAAGGTTAGTATGGAACTTGGATAATGTAAAAAGAACAACATTGTCCTAAAAAAAAAGGACAATTTCATTTTTGACCATCATGATCATTATTAAAGAATTCATAGTAAATCATAGAATTACAGAGAAATCAACAGAGACAATAACAAGTTGGTCAATATAACCTGAAAGATATTTAAAGAAAATACTAAGTTATAATTTCCACAGGAAATTTGATCACATGCAAAATAAAAGCCCTATTTAATCAAAGGCTTATTTACGTTTAAAAGAAGTATTTCACAGAAATACATGACATTTAAGTAGACAATGCAGTCTATCAGTCTGGTTTACTTTTTGAGGTAGCAACGTCTCTCTGTACATGTCTACCATGGTCTCCAGAGGGCGCTGGTATTCGGATGGTTGTCCTTATCAAAGCTTGTCTGGACTGTGGTGTTCGTGGAAGAGAAATCAGCCTCTTGAAGGTTCTCATCAGAGGTAGTCTGCACCTTACTGCAGTGTTTCAGCAGCTGTTTCTTGGACTGTGTCTCCAGCTCATCTTTGGACAGGAAGTGCATCACCTCTTGGACACATCTGGAGTAGCCAATATCTGCAGCTCCCATGTCCACAGCTGGATGTTTCTGCTGTTTCTGCAGTCGTCTGAGGAAGCAGACCGTCATCTCCAGGATGTCAGCTTTCTCCATCTTGGAGTCTGGCTGCTGTTTTAGGAACTCCGGACCCAGGAGTGTCTTGAGTTGCTCAATGCTGCTGTTGATTCGCTCTCTGCGTAATTTCTCCACCAAAGGCTTTCTGAGCTACAGGATCAAATAAGACAAAAAAAAAACTGTCATTAAACTAATTCAATTGTGTATTGTTGGTATCAAAAATTGAGAACTCTCCCAAATAATGGTAAACCTTTAATGAATTTTATATTTACCTTGTGGTTCAGAGTAAGATGCTCCTGATGGTTGGCTGGTGCTGCAATGATTTTTGGTGCCATATTTGGAT